GCTAATATTAATCTAGTTGCAGCTATCGCAAATATGACTAGGGCGAGTATGTAGCATAGTTGAGCTGACTTACATTTCGTGTGTAGGTGTGTGGTGAGTAGATTGATAGGTCGGTCTTACCCGAGGGCAATAGCGGATTCTCGTCTGTCATTCGACTTGCTGACGCAACGGTGCCGTTGATCTACGAGACCATTTTGATATGCTGTATTGTTGTAGGGTGTTGGAGAACTGATTACGAATTTTTCCGCAATCCCGGTTTAGCTCCAAATGTGTATAAATTAACTTAAGACAATTAATCACCCTGGCGCTGAAAGGATGATAACTGCCTAGCTAAAACGAATAACTTTCGAGAGACAGAATAACACCTAAGAGCACGGTTTGGATTAGATGACCACGGAGTAGACGAACTTACGTCCGAAGCTGTAGCGTGTCACGAAGAATCCAGATACCCGCGTCTTCCCTGCTGGGTTCGAGGCACTCACGCTGTATTGGTAGTACGATCCGGCACTTAAACCGGTTACGTTGAAGCAGCATCTAATTAGGGAAAGTCGAAGAAAGCGAGGAATTCGTAAATATCGCTACATAGAAATAATTCGCATAATTTGTAAATTAAATTGATTTTGACATGAGAGTCAGGAAAAAAAAGTTTCGTAAAAATCTGATTCGCGTTGATTCAATTTTGCCACTAAGCACTGTCTTTGCAGCATATTCAACTCGAGAACCGAGGCCATTTGAGCCAGCCATGGGTTCCGCCAGAAAGCCGATTTAGATGATCATCAATAGAGTGGAAATTATGGATTATTATTATTAATATTTGTATTATTTAATTATTAAGTCTTAACACTTAATAAAGGCATCAATCCCAAACATGATCCTTCTTAAAAGTATGAAGATCAAGATGGTGTGGCCTTTTGTGTGGTCGCAGTTTCCTTTCGCTGTACCTCGTCCACGGTCCCCCTATGGAAATGGACTCCGGACCAGGTGCGTTCCTCTAAGTCTTCCTACCAATATGACCAAGCTGCGAGAACAAGGTCAAACAACTTCTATAACCCTTCTTAGCTTGCAAATGTGACTGCAAAAGAATAGCCGAAACTGGGTGAGACATGTGGCAAAAGGGTGCCAAAATATGTTAGTAAATTTGGCAGAGCACATGCGCAAACGCGTAAGAACATGTGTATGCGTTATCGAGCACATATGATGCAGACATGAGATGAGCTAACCTCTGTCTTCCTGCTCCGCGCACGGCAAAGAGATCAGCCCGTGTCAGAGTCCGGTTGACGAGGGTTGTGCCCCGTCTGTCTACTACATTAATTGACCCGGGCGGTGCTTCACGACGCCGGCGCTCAGAATAGCTAACGCTGTCCGACCCACGCCCTGGCATCACCCGGAAAATAGAGTCCGAAAGTCCGAGACCAGTCGCTTGCCCAACCCCAGAAGATAGGCGCATGTTGTTGCTGCTGCTGCTGCTGCTGCTAGTACTACTTTGGCCGGTTGTAGGAGGTGCCTCCGAGGAGGGCAAGACAATGAGATGATAATTCAGCGGGACACAGCTGTCGCCAGCGCCGAAACTGGAAAGGTTGAATGTGACGCTGTTGCGTTCACGAAACCTGTCTGGCACCAGTTGCTCAGCATTACCCGCGACAGGGACTATAATGCAAATGTAAAGGACAATGAGAAAAAAAATTGAGAAAACAGCGCGTACTAAGCCATGGAGACTAGATGAATGTGTTGGAGCCAGGACAACAATGGACTTTAGTTGATTCTCGAGGCGAGAACAAATGTAATTATACTAATCCACCAGAAATAGACTCTCTGATTTTTGCTTTAAAAACTTGCTTACTTGTCATGAGATCATAGTGAGGCTGCGGTCTAGTTGGTTGATTCTTGAGGACTCAAATGCCGCAAGTGCTGGGATGATGATTGTAACAAAAAAGGCCCTACCACATTTTTTAGCCCATTCTCTATTCCCGCTATCTAGCTTTTTGTCTATCATTTCTCGTCAGCTGTTTTAATATTTAACTAAATCACAGCTTTTATATGTATTTATGTCTTTCACTCCTACTACTTTTATGCCCTTTTTAACCCTTTCAATACTCCCCTCTTTATACTGTTCCTTTATCCCACTATGCTTGCTCGTATGCATCTCAAATCACAACCTCACATCCTCTATATCTTAGTTCTCCATCTTTATTCAACTTCGCTCCAGTTCCCTTCAATCTTTCCTCCCCATTTCATGAAATTCTCTCTCTATTTTGTTTTCCTCCTCAATCCTTCACTTCTACTTATTCATCCGTTTGGTTTTCTAAAGAGCATTGACAATAGCGAGAATTAGGCAAGAAAAATTATAGAGGTTGTTTGACCTTGTTTTCACACTTTGGTCATATTGGTAGGAAGACTTAGAGAAACGCACCTTGTCCAGAGTCCATTGTCTGCATGATCATTTCCAAAGGTGAACCGTGGACGAGGTATATTCCCAGACGTTTCGCCGGCATCGTAGTCGGTATCGTCAGTGAGTTTTGCCATTCTTAGCACCATATTACAATCGTCAAATAGACAAGTGAAGCCGATCCTTCGACCAAACATGTGCTAAATAGTTATGGTATCTCCCATTCTGCCCTGACCTATTAACATTTCTTATATCCTCTAATCACGCCTTCACTGTCACGATATTTTACTTGCCTAATTAAATGTGGTACGGTGTGCCCTTTTGAGCGGCTTTCATGAGAACACTCCGCAGTCCACGCTGGTCTTCTCACCGCCCTTCATCATTCTGCTGGGAATGTTGATCAGAGTCTGCCATATTGTTACACAGTCCTCCTTCCCTAGATCATACCACAGTCTCTCTCTTGCCCCATAAGATCCGTCTGCCCTCTCCCTGGCTCACATATTTCACTCGACCCCTGCCACCCCATCTGTGCCATTCGAGGCGTTATTGGCGCTCCCCTGTGTCTTGGTGAGTTTCGATGTACAATCCATGTACTCAAACATCTCAGGTGAGAAGGCAGTAAGCGCTTTGCTGGAGATATTGTAGCGAGAAGAAGACATCCTGGAGACAGAACGGATACGGAAAGAATCGTTAACACGACTGATCAACCTGACAGTAAGGACCACGTATTTTACATTTAACGACAGTATCAACGAGCAAATATTTGGACTACCGATGGGATCTCCACTCTCACCTCTTTCAGCAAATGTGTACATGGACAAGTTGCAAAGGGAATTCGAGAAGTCACTACTGCAACCAAGAATGCCTATACAATATTTGGGTGAGTACTTTGGACTTTGGTCACATGGTGAAGAAAATTTAAATAAATTCCTCAATTTTATTAACCAACTAATGAAAGAATTAAATTCACAACGGAGGCAGAGAAGGATGAACGGCTACTCTTTCTGGATATTGAAGCCATACGCTCCAAAGGGACACTTATGAAGAGACTATACAGAAAGAATTCATATGCGGGAATAATCCTTAATTTTA